AACCCCCCGTATGGGGGACAGGCCCGACATAAGCCTAGACGTCCGGGCGCCTCCATGCCTGCCCCCAGACGTCCGTGCAGTCTCGAAGAGATCGAGGCGGTCAGTCTGCCTCCCCGTGTGACCTCTTGACGCCGTCTTCGGACCTCGGGGGCGCCTTGAAGTCCTAAAGCGACTCGAAGCAGGAGGAGGAGGAGGAGGAGGAGGAGGAGGCGCAAGAGCAGGAGGAGGAGGATGCAGTGGAGGAGGAGGAGGAGGAGGAGGACGAGGACGAGGACGAGGACGAGGACGAGGACGAGGACGACGACGAACAGGCGGCACTGGGGAAGGGGGCGAGAGCTCTGGGGGCCGAATCACCGAGAGTGCCGACTAAGCGTCGAATGGCCGGGCTCAGATGCGGGCGTCGCAGCAGGAGGTCGTGGCGGCCGGCTTGTCGCCATGGTCTCAGTATCCTTGAACCGACCTCAATCCCTATCCCCATTCCGCTCCCCACCATCCCACCACCCCAGTTGGGAATACACACGCCTCGGAGCCCGACAGAAACAGCCCGTATCCTCATCTGGGGAGGCAAGTCGGCCAGAGGAGCCCAGGCCACGCCAGAGGGGACAGGGATTGGATAAACGATGCTCGATGTTCGGCATCTGAACGACGGAAAAATCGGTGGTTCAAAGATGGGATCCTGGGGGATCCAGTCCTCAGAACGACGTGCATCAAACAATGTAAACCCACCCTTGGATCCCGTCCTATCCTTAGGACCCTTTCCCTCAGGACCCCATCTTTGAACTACCGACAGAAGGCGGGGTCGACAGCGCCGACATGTGCGCGTAAGCTTCCCGCGCCAGGTCTCGCGTAGGCGCCCTCGTTTCCAGTGTGGCATGCCGCGCTGGCGGCACCCGTAAGCCGCGGTGCACGGGCGCCATGGCTTCTCGCCTGAGGCCCGAGTGCGTTCGCCGCTCATCCTTGAGGCCGACTCCCAGCCCCGGGGCGGTCCAGAAACGACTCGGGACGGCACATCGGGCCTTGGGGAAGTGCCCGGGGCGGCCTCACCGTCCCCTGGCAAAACATCCCCAGCCGTGAAGTCCTCCTCGCCTCGCCATAAAAGACGCGTGTATGCGGCCGGAGGGAAGCCTGAAAGGCGAGGGTGGCGCCACGGAAGGGGAGATGGTTCGCCAGGGGTCGGTCAGGCCGCGCCCGCGAGTGGTCCAGATCCTGGGGGGGCCCACGCCACAAAAGGTTGCGCCGCGTCGGAACAGAGAGGGGCTTCTGGCCCAGACATCCGGGGGCTGGCTCGTCACCGCGGTCTGCCCTCTGAGAACATCAGCCTCGGGCTCTTGGGACCCGCGACGACAGCTCCGGGGGAACAAGCGGGCCTCGGGGAACGGATCTGGAGGTCTGGGGGCCCACGCACCGGAAAGATCGAAGCGTCGGATGCTTGGGGACGGAAAAGCTGGGTGACCTCACGGGCGTGAAGATGACAGCGCTTCGCGGTCCAGACTTCTGCCCCATGGGGTCGGCGCGATGCGCGAAGGAAGATGACTGAGGAAAGGGGTCCTCAGTTGCTACCCCGATTTCGGCCGTCGAACAACGATTCGAGAAGAATGGCCGGTTATGGGGAGCCCTGGTGCATCCTGGATTCGTTTTCCTCGAGACCTTTTTTTGGCGCATGGCACAAAGGGTACCTCCAGCAACTGCACATGGAGTATTCCGTTCTGAACGAGAAGCGGATTCTTAAGATGTTGGACACGCCGTTCGTCGTCCGCCTCCTTGCGACGTACAATGGCAAGGACCACGTATACCGACAACGCCGACGGCGACGGCAACGACGGCGACGACGGCCGACGATGGCGACAGCGACCACGACGGGCGATGATAGACGACGACAGACGGCGATAGACCACGACAGACGGCGACGACGACGGACGACGGACAATGGACGACGGGCAGTTACGACGCGGACGTTGACTAGGACGACGGATGACGACGGCAAGGAATACGTCTACTTCCTGCTGGAGGCGGCCCTGGGTGGCGAGCTGTTCACCACGTACGAGCGCCTGCGCCTCTACGGGAGCGAAAGGCGCGCCCCGCCCCGCCCGAACGGGGATCGGTGATCGAGCGTCGAAGCCTCCCAGACAGCGAGGACCGACCTTCGAGGTTCGAACGTCGAGGCTCGAGGTTACTGGAAGCGTTTCGCTCTGTTTGCGCCTCCGGGGGGGCTCCTCGCAGCCGCGGCTGGCTCCGCCTCGACGTTCTCTTTCTGGCCAGGGCGCACCCAACGACTGGTCCGAAGGCCGACTCTTTTGCTCCCGAACCCGGGCCTCCCTGGCGCCTCGGGCAAAATCGAGGCGACCTGTCTGTCGCCACTTTCGGGTTGACCCAAAAGGGGGTCCAGTGACAAGGGGGTGGTGCAATAGATTTGGTGCAATAGATCTGTGCGGTTTCATTACATGTGGGGCGTGCAATACATTCCAGGGCGCAAGTGTATTGCTAGATGTTCGCGTGCAACGCATTAGTTGCAATACAATGCAAAACAACTCTCCAGCGCAGTACATTTGCAGCACACTTGCTCCAAATCTATCGCACCACCCCCTTGCAGCTGGACACCCTTGTGGGTCATCGAAATACTTCTCGGCCTCAACTCTGGAGGCTGGCGTCCAGGCTCGGGGCTGGACTCGGCTCAAAAGACCGGGCCCCTGGGAGGCGAATCGAAGGGTCGCGCGGCCCGCAGGGACAACGCCATGAGGGGGGGGATCGACTCAGGGAGGAGGAGGAGGAGGAGGAGGAGGAGGAGGAGGAGGAGGAGGACGACGAGGACGACGAGGACGACGAGGACGACGAGGACGACGAGGACGAGGAGGAGGACGAGGAGGAGAAGGGGGAGGAGGAGGAGGGGGGGGTGCACCGAACCCAGTCGCCCACTGATCGCCGGCAGGGTCCTAGTAGCCCACCCCGCCCAGGAACGCGCGGTGTCGCTGCCGCGGGCCTACCGCCGATCTATCGGCGATGTTCCTGAGCGGGTCCCCCTCTGTCGTTATGTCAGGCATGTCCCTCTACAGGAGGAACATTCAAGAACAGTTTGAACAAAAACAGTCTGGGGACGCTGTCTCTTGCTGTTTTGACGATGGTGCTTGATTGTGTTTGGACAATGTTTGTTTCTCTTCCTTTATGCGCCTGTAGGATGACATGCCCGACCCAACCCTATCGTTGCCCCCCTGCGGCCCACGCACCGCAGAGATCGGAGCATCGGCCGTCGGGCGGAGGGAGGGGCCAGCTGGCCCTCGCGGGCGCGAGGATGGCAGCGCTCCGCGCTCCTTCTCTCCTGCATGGGGGCGGCGCGAGGGCGCGAAGACGACCGAGCGCCGCACACCGCGAGGTGCGATGCGCGAAGGCAGGCGACCTGGAAAAGGGGCCCTGAGCTGCCACGCCCCGTTTTCGGCCTCTCGGGGCCTCCCTGGGCCCTGGGGCCATCGAAAAACGGCTCGACGTCGATGGCTGGAGAGCCCCAGTGCCAGGACGGGGCCAGGAGGAGGATAGGTCCGTTCCAGGGCCTTCCGGGATGCTTGCCGCGCGTTCCGGAACGCTCTGAGAAGGCCGCGGCGCCCGAGACATCCTCCAGAGCCGCCGGATCTCAGAGGTTCTCGATTTATCCTCACCCGATGTTATCTTCGTCTCTTGGCTTCGTCTGAGGTGCATCCAGCACCCGCTTCCCTGGAGACCCCCCCGAGAGGTCTGCATCTGCTGGTTCCCTGGAGGCCTCTGGGGACCCCCAGGGGCCTCCAGAGGCCCCCCCGCCGTCGTCGGCGTCGTCGTCGGCGTTGGCGTCGGCGTTGGTGTCGTCGGCGTCGTCGGCGTCGTCGTCGGCGTCGTCGGCATCGTCGGCGTCGTCGGCTTCGTCGGCGTCGTTGGCGTCGTCGTCGTCGGCGGCGTCGTCGTCGGCGTCTTCGGCGTCGTCGTCGTCAGGCACGCTCGCTTCTACGTGGGGTGCGTGACGGAGGCGCTCACCCACCTCCACGAGCACAACGTCATCTATCGCGACTTGAAGCCGGAGAACCTCTTGCTGGACTCACGCGGTTACTGCAAGGCCTCCGGAACAGCTGAAGTCTAAGCATGCATTGTTGGAGGTCCGCGTGGCATTCTTGAGTCGGCGCTGGACCCCCCCCTCCCCCTGGCGCTGGCGTTAAGTCGGGCATGTCCCTCTACAGGAGGAACATTCAAAAATAGTCCCAAAAAAAATAGGATGAGGACGATTTCTATTATTTCCGCGTGTGTTCGAATATGTTTTGACTATTTTTTTTTCCTCCAAAATCCGCCTGTAGGAGGACATGCCCGACCTGGTGCTGGCGCGCAGGGCGCGCCAGGGGCAGCGCCTGGGAGGCGCCGCCGGGGGGGTCCAGCGCCGACCCCACTAGAGGTCCGCACGGTACCTTCGAAAGTTCATGCTTGTGCAGAGGGACCCTGGCTGAAATTGTGGCCGACGTTCACCTTCCTCCTCCTCCTCCTCCTCCTCTCCTTCCTCCTCCTCACTCCTCCTCCTCCATCTCCATCGTCCTCCTCCTCCTCCTGCTCCTCCTCCTCCTCCTCTTTCTCCTGCTCCTCCTCCTCCTCCTCCCCTCCGCCTCCTCCTCCTCCTTCCTCCTCCTCCTCTCCTCTCTCCTCCTCCTTCCTCCTCCTCTTCTTCTCCCCTCCTCCTCTCCTCCTCATCATCATCATCAATCATCATCAGCATCATCATCATCACTCATCATCATCATCATCATCCTCAGAATCATCATCATCATCATCATCCATCATCATCATCTCTCATCCGTCTCTTTCTCCCTCCTCCTCCTCCTCCTCCTCCTCCTTCTCCTCCACCTCCTCCTCCTCCTCCTCCTCTTCCTCCTCTTCCTCCTCTTCTTATCCTACTCTCCTCCTCCTCCTCCTCCTCCTCCCAACATCCCCTCCTCCGCCCTCCCCCTTTCCTACTCTTCTCTCTCCTCGTCCTCCTCCTCCTCCTCCGCCTTCTGCTCCCCCTTCTCCCCCTCCTCCTCCGCCTCCTGTCCAGATTGACATGCTGCGGTCGGCGTCTAGGGGGAACGCGCCAGCGTCGGCCAGACCTGGGGCACAAGAGGGGCCCCAGACCCTGAGGTTTCCCGCTCCCGCCTTTGCGCTCTCAGCGCCAGCGTGGAGAGCTCATGCCCACGGGCAGCTGTCTCTTCTGCCAGAGGTGACCGACATGGGCCTGGCCAAGGTCGCGACGGGCAAGACGTACACGTTGGTGGGCACCCCGGACTACATGGCCCCGGAGGTCATCGGCCAGACGGGGCACACCAAGATGGTGGACTGGTGGATGCTCGGCGTGCTCCTCTACGAGCTGCTCTCCGGCCACGCGCCCTTCGAGGCGGACAGCACCCCGCAGGTCTGCGACCTCGATCCCTGAGCATCGGGATCGATGATTTTGCGTGTGTGCGTGTGTGTGTGTCGTGTGTGTGGGTGTTACGTTTCTCGGTTTCTTGGAGGCCCACAGGGAGGGCCAAAAGCAACCAAAAACACCCAAAAGCTTTATCCTTATCATCCCTCCTCCTTCTCCTCCTCTCCCTCCGCCTCCGCTTCCTCCTCCTCCTCCTCCTCCTCCTCCTCCTCCTCCTCCTCCTCCTCCTCCCCCTCCTCCTCCTCCTCCTCCTTTCCCTCGGCCTGAGATTGTCGAGGGTAAGGTTCATGAGAAGCGGTGCTGGATTTGTTTTAAGTGTGGGGCATGGTCCCAGGGCCGTGCAATTAAACTGGCACAGCCTTGTCGAAGGCCTCGAGAGCGCCCCACGAAGAAAGGTCAGGAAGTTTTGAACTGATACCTTCAGAGTAAGCCGCCGAACCGTAAGGTGAGGGCGTTCTTGAGCTGGGTTTCGGTTGTTCCTAGGACCCCCCTTTCGGTTGCCCTCGGAATCGGTCCCTGATTGTACCGTGGTGCCTCGCTCGTTCTCGGCCTCAGGGGATGTCCCAATGTGTGAGCAGAGAATGGCGGCCATTCTCCAGAGAGTTCGGGAGAAGGAGGCCAGGAGATCTGGCTAGTCGTCCTGATTTGTTCAGGTGTTAGTGCTGTGCACGTCCCTTCTGGGCATTCCGATCCTCCTTTCCCTCCTCCTCTGCCTCCGCCTCCGCCTCCTCCACGCCGAGAAGAAAGTTGAGGAGAAGGAGTGATGATGATGGTGATGATGATGATGATGATGATGATGATGAAGGTGACGATGTCGATGATGATGACGATGACGATGACGATGACGATGACGATGACGATGACGATGATGATGATGGTGATGATGATGATGATGATGATGATGATGATGATGATGATGATGGTGCTGATGATGATGGTGGTGGTGATGCTGATGATTATTATGCTGAAGATGCTGAAGATGATGATGATAATGATGATGATGATGATGATGATGATGATGACGATGGTGATGATGAAGATGGCGATGACGATGACGATAGTAATGACGACGATGACCGATGACGATGCCGATAATGATGATGATGGTGATGCTGATTATGATGATGATGATGATGATGATGATGATGATGATGATGATGATGATGATGGTGATGATGATGGTGATGGTGATGGTGATGGTCATGGTGATGGTGATGGTGATGGTGATGGTAATGGTGATGGTTAGGAGGAGGAGGAGGAGGATGAGACGGGAGGAGGAGGCAGGAGGAGGAAGCCCGAGTCTCCCCGCCTCGGTCGCAGGTCTACGAGCTCGTGAAGCGCGGCATCGACCAGGCCGTCGTCGTCGGCGTCGTCGTCGTCGCCGCCGCCATCTGGCGCTGAGCGTCGACCGTCGGTCGCCGACCGTCAACCGTCGAGTGTCGAGCGTCGTCGCCCGTCGTCGGTCGGTCGTCGGTCGGTCGTCGGTCGGTCGGTCGGTCGCCGCCCAGCGCCCGTCGCACGTTGTCGCCCTGCAGGCTCACTTCCCCGCCGCCTGCCGCGGCACGGCCCAGGAGCTTGTCCGGGCGCTCTGCCGCCCCCAGCCGGAGGCGCCGCCGTCGCCGGTCAGCCGCCTGCCGGTCGGTCGGTCGCCGCCGTCGTCGCCGTCGTCGTCTCCGTCGGTCGGCCGTCCAACGTCGGTCCGTCGGTCGTCGTCGGTCGGTCGGTCGTCGTGCATCGGTCGGTCGCCGTCGTGGTGGTGGTCGGTCGGTCGGTCGCAGTCGGCGGGTCGGTCCGTCGGTCGTCGAGGCGCGGCCCATCGGCGGCGGTCGGCTGCCCTCGGCGGCCCGTAGCGAGCCCTGGGCGTCGTCGAGCGGTCGTCGTCCGTCGTCGAGCGGTGCAGGGTCGATCGAGCGGGCGAGCGTGTGCCAAAGCACAGCCCCACGCTGCACGGCAGCAGCCGCAGCGAGGTCCTGGCCAGGCTGCGCTCCTGGAGCGGTCCGGGGTCGCCGTCACGGCCGCCGTCGTCGTTCTCGTCGACGCAGCCGATGGGGATCGAGGGTCGAGGACCAAATCTTGACAAGCTTTCTTGGGTCTTGTTGGGCCTCAGGGGGGGAGGCTCGTAGGCACAGCTGGATCAGCCTCGAAATTCTGGCCAGTCTGCGCTCCAGGAGAGGCGCGGTCGTTGTCCTACTCCTTCCTACCTCCCTCCCTCCCATCCTTCCTCCCTTCCTCCCTTCTCCTCCCTTTCCCTCCATTCCTCCTCCTTATCCCTCTCCTCCTCCTCCTCATCCTCCTCCTCCTCCTCCTCCTCCTACTCCTCCTCCTCCTCCTCCTCCTCCTCCTCCTCCTCCTCTTCCTCCGCCACCCCTCATCATACAGAAGGATCAGCTGAACCACAACCCGATCCCTATCTGCCCTGTGATCGGAGGGGGAGGAGGAGGAGGAGGAGGAGGAGGAGGAGGAGGAGGAGGAGGATAACGAGGAGGAGGAGGATAACGAGGAGGAGGAGGATAACGACGAGGAGGAGGACAACGACGAGGATGAGGATAACGAGGAGGAGGAGGGGGTGGAGGAGGAGGCGGTGGTCGAAGAGGAGAGGGGAGGTGGAGAGGGAGAACGACGAAGAAGAAGGACAGACGAGGAGGGAGGAGGAGACGGCAAGAGGAGGAAGGGGAAAAGGGTAAGTGGGGGATGAGGAGGAGGAGGAGGAGGAGGAGGAGGACGACGACGACGAGGAGGAGGAGGAGGAGGAAGGAGAGGAGCTAGGGGGAAGGAGGGGGAGGAGAATGGAGGACGAAAAGGAGGTGGTGGTTGCCGTGTTTGAGCTCTCGTGTGCGGCAGCAGGCCAAGGGTGCAGTTCGAATACGCGTGGGGCTTGGGCGGGCAAGGAGGTTTGCATGATCCCCGATACGGGGCCGCGAGCAGTAGTTACAAAAAGAGTGTCACGATCTGCGAGGTGTACAACTGGCGCAAGGATTGTGAACAGCCCTATTGACCCTTGTGCTCTTAGTGCTTGGGATCACCTCCTTGGAATGCTGCAGGTTTGGGGTATCTCCATTGGGCTTTGGGCGAAGGAGTTCATGTTCTCGACCCACGTATTGCGGCCATGTCTCGACTGCACCTCCCCCAAATGATAGGCTCAATCACAACACGGTCGTCATCTGCGCTCTGATCGAGGAGGAGGAGGAGGAGGAGGAGGAGGAGGAGGGGAGAAGGAGGAGGAGGAGGCGGAGGAGGAGGAGGCGGACGACGACGACGACAGCGAGCAGGCAGGAGAAGAGGGGAGAACGCTGGGGAGGAGGAGGAGGAGGAGGAGGAGGAGGAGGAGGCGCAGAAGCAGGCGGAGGTAGGGGGAGACGTGGGAGAAGCAGGTAGGAAAGAGGGGGGAGGAGGGAGGCAGGGAGGGAGATAGAGAGAGAGAGAGGGAGGAAGGGGGGAGGAGAAAGGGCGAGGAAGGTGGAGGAATTGGACGACGACGACGACGAGGAGGAGAAGGAGGAGGACGATGACGACGACGGCGGCTACGACGGCGACGAGGATAAGGGATGAGGCAGGATGCAGAAAGAGGAGGAAAGAGGCGGGAGGAGAAGGGAGTGAGGAGGGGGAGGATTGGTCGGTCGGAGATCCGCGGAAATGCCCGGCATGCGAGCTACAATTTGTGGAGCGCAGCACAAAATTTGCTGCTCCATTCCGAAGGAGGGAAGTAGGACGGGAGGCGGGAGGAGGAGGAGAAAGAGGAGGTGTGAGGGAAGAGTAAATAGGGAAGGAGGATGAGGAGGACAGGAAGACAAGGACGAGAATGAGGACGACGCCGACGACGCCGACCACGACGACGACAACGACGACGACGACGACGACGATGGCGACGGCGACGGCGACGGCGACGGCGACGGCGACGGCAACGGCGGCGACAATGACCCCAAAAACCTCGACCCCTTCCCTGGGAGCAGCTTTTCACCCCTCCAGGGGCCCAAAGCCGGCCCCCGGAGGCCGAACCAATCATGGGGAATACATGTGCTCGACGACCGACGACGACGACACACGACGACGCCGACGACGGCGACGGCGGCGACGACGACGGCGGCGGCGGCGGCGGTGGCAACGGTGGCGGCGGGCCCGAGGGGCGCTTGCGGGCCCCGAAGCTGTGCGAGCACGCCTGGTTTTCGGGCGGCCGCGACGGCTTCGACTGGACGCCCCCCCCCCCCGCGCGGGCGCGCAGGGGCGGCCGGCCGGCGGGCGGGCGCTTCCTCGTTATTCCTCCCTCCCCCTCCTCCTCCTCGTCCTCCTCTTCCTCCTCCTCCTCCTCCTCCTCCTCCTCCTCCTCCTTCTCCTCCTCCTTCTCCTCCTCCTCCTCCTCCTCATCCTCAGCCTCATCCTCACCCTCATCCTCCTCATCATCACCAGCAGCACCATTATTATGATCATCGACATCATCATCACCATCATCGTCATCATCAGCATCGTCATCACCATCACCATCACCATCATCATCATCATCATCATCATCATCATCATCATCATCATCATCATCATCATCATCATCATCATCATCCTACCTCTGGTTTATGTACCCGGGCCGAGGCTGCTGAAGGCGCAGGATAGGACTGGGTGTGATGACGACGTTGTGGTACGGTGTGGTCATCCTCTTCTTTCCTCCTCTTGGGTATTGGGTAATGACGGCATTGGGGTCGTTCAGACGCTGCCACCCCCCCGATCAACATAAGGTATTTGTAGGGTATAGAAGAAAGAAAACTGACAGACCCTCCCAGGGGCGGGGTGTCTAAGTCCCCCTGCAGAGGCGGGGTGTCTAAGTCCCCCTGAAGGGGTCCGCCTCTCTCCCGCTTCTCTCTCCTCCGCTCCCCTCCTCTCGCTGCTGCTGTTGCGGGCTCCGCCCTCCCTCCTTCCTCTCCCGTCGTCTCTGCCCCCTTCCCTCTCCTCCCCTGCCCTCTGCCCCCCTCTGGCTGCTGCTGCTGCTGCTGTCTCCTCCCTCCCTCCCTCCCCCCCCGTCGTCGTCGCCGCCGCTGTCGCCGTCGGGTGCGGACCTCTGCCCTCCTCGGGTTTGTGGCCCCCCTGCGGGGGGGGGGGGGGGGCATCCGAGGCAGCGGCCTCCGAGCCCGCACGGGGCAGCTTGGCCGGTGGAGCAGTCGTGGCTACTGCGGCCCGGAGCGCTCGTGGGAATGCGGTGTCACCTTTCCTCTGCCCTCCCCCCTTCCCGAATTCAGTGCACGAGCCCGGAGCGGGACGTTGCGCTGACGGGCCCTTGGAAGGCCGGCAGATTTTCGCCCGTCTCCAGCCGCCCATCGGCCTCCACCCGCCCTGGGGACGGCTACCGCTGCTACCCCGGAGGCTTTCGCACTGACTGGGGTCGTGCGTGTCCCCCGTCCTTTCCCTCTCCTCTTTTTTACCTAACAGCGAAGACTGATAGGTTTCTAGTAGTGTCAAAAGAGCTCACAGATCACTCCACAGGGGGGTCCGGGCAGGTGTTGGGGCGTTTCCGGGCGGCATGAGCCGGGCTCGTTTTTCACCAACAGTCACACACTTCGTGCTCTTCGCCTTCCCAGAACTCCATTCCCAGGCCACATTCTGGGGGGCCGGATGCAACAGTCACACACAAAGTGTTCTTCGACATCCCAGAACGCCATTCCCGGGCCACATTCTGGGGGGCCGGATGCAACAGTCACACACAAAGTGCTCTTCGACATCCCAGAACGCCACTCCCGGGCCACATTTTGGATGCCCGGAGCCAACTGTAGGCCACTTCGTGCTCTTCTATTTCCCAGAACTCCATTCCCGGGCCACATTTTGAATGCCCGGAGCCAACTGTAGGCCACTTCGTGCTCTTCGAGTTCCCAGAACTCCATTCCTGGGCTACATTTTGGATGCCCAGAGCCAACTCTAGTCCACTTCCTGGTCTTCGAGTTCCCAGAACTCCATTGCCGGGCAACATTTTGAATAGCCAGACGCTTCATATTCCTTCCGCCACAGCTGTGTTGGGTTCAGGACTTGCTAGTGACACTGCAGTCCTCTGCATTCAATTGGCCACTACATTCATTCACTGCAGTCCACTGAGTTTTGATTGCAATGGCGTTCCCCTAGCCGTACCCCCATGTCCAACGTTCATCCGCAGCCTCTGCTCCGCGAGGCTCGTCCGAAGTGTCGCCGCCTCGCGGTGCTTCTCAGCCTGCGCCGCCTCGCGTTGCTTCTCAGCCTGCGGAGGAAGGTGGACAGACGCCTGGTTCTGGCGCTGTGCAGCCTGCGTCTTTCACGGTCGCCTCGTTCAATTTCGGGTTCGAGCAGGGCATGATGACTGGTAAGCCGGCGGCCACTCACTGCGCTAACTTCGGAAGGTTGTGCGCCAAGATAGTGGAGACCGCTGATGCTGATATGGTCTGTGGCTGCGAGGTCGGTGCGTTCCGTGAAGGCTTTCGCCGAGCAGGGATCAACGTGACAGAGATCCTCAGTAAGCCTTTCGGTGATGGCATTCGCTTCTTGGAGGTCGACAATTACTTGACTCTCTGGGGGTTCCGCGGTGCTTCTCAGCCTGCGGAACTGACTCTGTGCGAAGACAGCAAAGTTTACAGGCCTCCTAGCGGCCGAGATATTGATGCTGTTATTTCACATTTTGAGGTGAACAAACCAGGCCATGACAAGTTCCACTTGGTGATCGCCAACATGCACATCGTGTGCGGCAAGAAACCGCCGAGCATCCAGACTCGAAAGCGGACAGTTCGCCATCTCCGCTTGCACCTGGACGGCCTGGCCAGGATTCTTGAGAATCTAAACGAGGCAGTCGTTGTGCTTGTAGTCGGCGACGACAACCTCACTTTCCAGGAGGCGCGGGAGGCTTACCAGCGCGAGCAGAACGACGAGAAGGTATGGGAGGTCCATGCCACTCCGGCCAACCTCAAAGGCGACCACGTCGCGGTCTGCGGAGCAGTCGCCCGTTTCTGCTCCATTGCCGTTGGCGCGTCTTTTACGGATCGTGGCATGCGCAACGACGCACACGATGCGGTGGCGGTTGTGCCCACTCTCCCTGGTGCTATTCAGCCTGGGGAGAGCAAGAGGCGGAAAATTGTCGTCGAAAACGTCTCCGACGCCGACGTCAGCGTACAGGCGGACCGCGAGTCTTCTGTGCATTGGGATCGGTCGCCGAGTTCTGCTCCTCCGCTTTCACCGACTTCACCGGGTGATCCCGACTACGTCGAAGATGTCGTTCAGAATCGCGCGGACGACTTGCACAGGGAGCTGAGGAAGCTTTGGGACGACAGGTACGACGAGGAGTACGATCCGAAAGTCCTCCATCATCTCAGTCTCTTGCTTTTCAAAAAGAGGAAGTCCACGGAGCCAGCGGACACTGATCCAGCTGGCGCTCCTCAGCCTGGCTCGGAATATGACCCGGCCTTTGCGTCTCAGGAGGAGACTGGCCGAGCCATTCTCTCTGTCCTTAAGCTTCGACATGACTTTCTGCGGAGCAAGAACATCGACGACATGCGCTACGTTCTCACGGAGCCTGAGCGCCAGGAATTGGTCAGAGTAGCTCGCGACCAGTACGAGCAGTCGGCAGCAGCGTGCGCTTCAGGAACGGGATATCGAAAAGGGAAAAGCGAAAGGCAAGTCTGCGCCACAAGGGGGCCATGCGGTTCCGCAGGGTCCGAACCAAGGGCCAGGCGGTAAGAAAGGTTCTCACGGTGCTTCTCAGCCTGCGGGAAAAGGTGGCCAGGCCAAGGGTGCAGGTCTGGGTAGCGTCGCCAAGTTTGTGAAAGACCAGAAGCGTAAGCGTTGGCATCGCCATTTGCAACGTGTGGCCGGTACCAAACAGATCTGGGAGGTGCTGGCCTTCTCAGGGCGCTTCGACGTTGATTGGTTAACGCAAGCGTTGCAAGCTGATCACAGTGAGGGCCGTGATGCAGCAGTTCCCGAGGAAGCTCTGCGGCAACAGCGGCGCCGGCTGCACCACCAGAAGGCCGAGGCCATCGCGCGCTACAACGAGGGGGAGCGGCTTCCCCTATATCTGTCTGCCCAGGCTGGCCAGGCAAAGCCGAACTTCACGCGCAGGCAGCAGGACGTGTTGCAGATGTTTGAGAGCGGAGCGCTGCTTCAAATCCGCAACCAAGCGATTTTGGCGCGCGGGCACGGCCGTCTGTTCAGGGGCGATGGCGACTACCTGGACATCGGCGGCAGCACGGGCGGTGGCTCCAGGCGCATCATCGATTCTTGGCAGCCGCCGGACTGGCGTGACTTCCTCCAAGACGATCAGGACATTTGAGTTTTGCAAGTCTCCCTGCCCGCGGTGCTTCTCAGCCTGCGGTCTGCCGCTCTCCAGCTGCGGTCTCGAGCAGTAGTGTTCGAAAGCATGCGAGTTCCTGCGGTGCTTCTCAGCCTGCAGGTTTCGCAGCCTGCGCTCTGCAGTACAAGTGCTTTTCAGCATGCGACATCCTGCGGTGCTTTTCAGCCTGCAGGGTTCGCAGCGTGCGGTTTGCAATGCATTCCTTTTCAGTATGCGAGTTCCTGCGGTGTTTCTCAGGCTGCAGGGCTCCGAGGCTCTTCGCTTCGATGCCAATGTTTTCAGACACCGTAGCTCCGTTCCGAAAACGTCTTCCAAGAGCCGCTCGCAACCTTTTGCAGCTGGCTGTCTGCACGCTTCGCCGGCTTTTGCTGCGCGGACAATTTTCTCACACACGTCAGCGCCGTTTGTATGCGTCAGAAAAACATGTAGACATTCACGAAGGGCTCAGTCTGTATATCGTCACATCATTACATACGCAGTCGTCGAACACATCGGTGTACATTCAGCGCTTTGTCCTTCTAGCTGGGTTGCTTCGTGCTGAGGCTGAGGCTGATGCAGGCTGAGGCTGAGGCAGGCTGAGGCTGAGGCCGAGGCCGCCGGCAGACTGAGGCTGAGGCTGAAGCAGGCTGAGGCTGAGGCAGAGGCAGGCTGAGGCTGAGGCTGAGGCAGGCTGATGCTGAGGCAGGCTGAGGCTGAGGCTGAGGCTGATGCAGGCTGAGGTTGAGGCAGTCTGAGGCTGAGGCCGAAGCTGAAGGCAGACTGATGCTGAGGCTGAAGCAGGCTGAGGCTGAGGCTGAGGCAGGCTGAGGCTGAGGCAGGCTGAGGCTGAGGCTGAGGCATGCTGAGGCTGAGGCTGTGACTGCGACTGCCGTTGCCACTGCGACTGTCATCGCGAATGCGAC